CGGGGGAAACCCCTTGGAGACCCCCAAAGCCGCTGATTGTGGCAGCGGGGACCCAGAGGGAGGTCTCCCAGGACTTGCCTGCCACCATGGGAGACCTCCCTGGGGGTCCCCGCTGCTTCAATTGGTGCCTTCAGAGGTTTCAAAGGGCTTTCCCCGACATCGGAGGAGGCCCTTTGAAAGCTCCAAAGGCAGGGAGGAAGGGCAGGAAATTTGAATTTCTCGCCCTTTCTCCCTGCCTCTTTGGCTTCAGAGCCACTGAAGTTCACCCAGAGCTGGGAGCCTGGAGCTGGCCGGGTGCTTGGCCGCTCGCCCCCGGCCACAGCAGAGGCAGCGGAGCGCCAGCAGGCTTCGGACTGGTAAGTCCTTTTATAAAAAAAAACTTTTCTGTGTGGGTTTTGGAGGGTAGGTTTGGACTGGGGGATTATGTTTCTGTGGTTTGTGTGTGTGTGTGTTGTTGTTGTTTTGCAGTCCCAACGTGGGACTTGCTCTTTTTATTTTTATTTTGTTTTGTTTTGCTTTGTTTTGCTTTTTTTAAAAATGCTGGAACGGATTAATTCTGTTCCCATGCATTTCAATGGGAAATGGTACTTCGACTTACAAACTTTTCGAGGTACGAACGTCCTTCCAGAACGGATTAAGTTCGTTAAGTCGAGGGCCCACTATAACACCTGGTGTTTACTCCAGCACAGTAGGACCACAGACTCAATACGGCTTTGGTTGCAAGCCCCTCCTCCCTATCCTTGCTGAAAACCATGGATGTGCAAACCCTATATATAGCATATTCTCTGGCTCCATCTGGTGGCCAGTTCCAATATTACACCTTGGAAACGAGTATTTCTGGCGGTGGGTGGGTTATTTAATACTTTCAGGCAATGGATAACTGAAATGCAAATACTGATCCTGCAAATATGGCAGACCTTCTGAATTGTCCAAGTTCAGTGCTAGTGTGTGGATAGCAGCAGAGCTGGGAATTATTTTGGAACCTTCAAAAACTGAATTTCTCCTTTAAAACAAACTCATACCTTTAAAAAACAAAAAAACAAAACCTCCCACCAACCGTGTCTTTGCAAAATTGGACATAGCCTTCCGGTCTCTTCTTGTTTCCTTTAAAGGACTTGTGTGGTCTCGTCACTGTTGGAAAGAGTTTAATGTGAGACAAAAAGAGGAGAGCGGACAGTACTCAATTCTTTTTTTTATTATTTGAGGAAAATGTAAATGACTGCCAGACATGCCTCGATTTACTACTCCAACATATGGTTTCCCCAGAAACTTAACTGACAGAAAATGAGATGGGTAACTTTAGAAGACAAAAAACGGCATGGATCGGCCACAACTGACATGGAGTTGAAATGACTGTATCAGCAGTGGCCTAAGCATTTGCCACCTGCTTTAGGTTGCACATATTGTGGAATTTCTTTTGGAATTTCAGAAGTTTCTTTTGGCCAAGGAATTTGACATATTATATATGAATGAATGAACACTGCCAACACCCAAGCTGATGTGAAATTAGTGGACTTGCCTAGGAACAGTGCTTTAAGACTAGATTGGCAGTTGAGAGACACCAAATGTTCTTCACAAAAAGACATTAATCTTCAATAAATATTCCAGAACGGCCTCATTTAAACCTCTGTGTTGATCATTGTTTGGCAAGCAAATGAGGCATAGTTGAAAGCAGTTTGATTCAACACTGACCTTCTCATATGGATATGGAGCGTAAGCTAGGAAGAAACCACTTAAAATTGCACTTATTTAAATACAAGTTATTTTGGCATTTAGTTGTTTGTATCCTTAAATAAAACATAGTTTTTATTCTTTTCATAAAAATGTTTGTTGGTATTTGTACACCGACTTAAAAGAACACTAAAAGTTAACTAAGCTATTATTTCTCAATCAATTCAGAGCTTCCTGTTCCACAAATTAGTTCTTTTACCAGTAAATGCATCCTGATATATAGGGCAATGTAATGATATGCAGCTTTCACTCAGTGTCCTGTTATGTTATGCTTGCATTGGAGGAGTAGCATTCTAGTGTTTTAATGTACAAACGGATTGTGGCTCTGCTTCTAACTAAGGCATTTTCTTTTCTTTTTCCTTCTAGGCTGTTGATATACTTTTGCAACACGGGGCATATGTCAATGTTCAAGATGCTGTTTTTTTCACCCCTTTACATATTGCAGCATACTATGGCCATGAGCAGGTATGGCAAAGCTGATGTGGTCACAAGGGGGCTATTCTATGGGCAGAGGGTGGTGTCCTTTGCTTCACAAACAGGAAAGACAGAGACAGCACTAAGTTTTGTTGACACATGAATATAATTGTTTACTGAGATGATTTCTCAGACTATGGATTAACCATTTGGATTTTGGGATCCCCTGAGGCCAGTTTAGACACAGTACTTTTCAATGGGAACATCTGACATATCTTGCTGCACATCATCAAGTGTTGATTCATCAAGCAGTGAGAATGATCAAGTGATGTCTATGAATATGTGAAGCTGTATCATTTGTCAATGGAAAGGATATGTTACTAAAATGTGTTGATATTTGTAGAAGGCCGTTCTAACTTTACGTCTGTGTTGGGCTGGGTAAACGAGCATTTCAGACTGGAAATATGCAAATTCATTCTTTGTGTTTCAGTCCCAATACGTTATGCTGCCCCGAACACTCGTTCTGCATTATCCACGAAATGTGTCCCAGGATTTCTTGCGGTATCTGTGGAATGCTGATAGCAGCCTACTTGTTGTAGTGAGCAACCTAGAATGTGTGATTCTGGGTATATTGTAACAATGCAAGGAATCCTAAGGTATATCTCTGGGATCCTAGAATTAAGCACTTTTTCTCCGTTGCCATCACTGATGACCACTTGGATTGCTTTAAGATGATTTGAGGTTTTTAAGGGCCTCTCAAGCACAAATCCATTTTTTTTACTCAGCGGCTCATCTATTCTTTGCTTCTGCTGTTGCCACTTACTATTTCCATAACTTCTCCCTCTGGACCAAATTCCACTGCTCCCAAGGTACCAAGACTGGTGAATTGCAGCTCCTTGACCTCACTGTTACAGCTGCTTTCCCTTTGTAGCAGAGGAAGAGTGTAGACACCAAATAATGCTCACCCCAAGGATTAGTAAACTTGGAATTTATTAAGACATTGTAGTTGGACTAGTAAGATATCACTTAGATTCATTGAGTTAGGCACCTGGATTGCAAAATCAGAGATTGGGAGTTTGAGTACAATCAGCTTGTGTTACCTTAGGCAAGATACACAATCCCAAGGTGCCCTCAGAAGAATGGAATGGCAAACCACCTCTGAATACTCCCTATCCAGAAAACCCTGGAAAAGCTTGCAGGAAGTTGGAGTTGACATGACAGGACACAAATATTATCAGATTAAAGTAGAGTGCCATTTCGAAAACCAATTTGCTGACTGATTCCAACAACACTAGACAACTGAAAAGAATATAATTGTGCATTCAGTTACGGTAATGGTATGCACAATGTTTGGTTTCCTCAGATGATTCTCTTTTGAGATAGATAAGTGTGTATGTATGTGTGCATGCACACACACATGCCTGTGTACATATATATTCATCTCCTCATCCAGTTATAGTGGAAAGACTTTCATATGTAGGGCTGAGAGCTGGTTTGCTTTATTTTTGATACAAGTCGCCTTTGAACAAATAGTCACAGTTTTGTAAAATTATGCTAAAATGCATATGGTGCTTTTAAGATAAGGGTTCCAGTTTTCAGAAAAGAAACTATAGCTTGGACGTAACTAATTTATGGGCATTTTGCTACTTAGGTCAGTTAAACTAATAGGCTTCTGTCTGTTTTCAGCCTCTTACTATCTGTCATTTTTGAAAGGAAATTGGCAGCTGCTACCAAGCTAATGAAATATTCTGTCCGCATAAAACTTGGTTATAAATTGATAAATGCTTTAATAGCTTTAATTCTCATGACGGGTGACTATAACATGTGCCTGATGCATGAAAATAAATTTCCAAATGTTAAGGCATACATTTCATTTTTTAAAGTCTCTGTTGATCCCAGTTCTAATTCTGAGAAATATAATATTGTTAGGTAAGCCGACTTTTGCTGAAATTTGGGGCCGATGTGAATGTGAGTGGAGAAGTTGGAGACCGCCCCCTTCATTTGGCTTCAGCCAAAGGATTTCTCAATATAGCAAAACTTTTGATGGAGGAGGGCAGCAAAGCAGATGGTAAGTGTTCAAAATACAACATCTAGTGTGTGTTTGAGAGAACTGCAATCTGTAATTTAGCTAGTTATTTCAGTATGTGATCTTCATGACCTCTACATTCTGTAGCTCCTGCTCATGTCTGTACTTCATATGTCTCCTAATTTTCTCAGTTCTCATGACCTTTCTTCCTAGGTTTATTCATAAATCCAGTTAAGGATGTATTTTAGTCATTTCTGGTTTAAACTGGGATTCCTGCCCTTCAGCTTCTCTGATCCTTGCCTTATCTGTCCTGTGGCCCTTATGTGTGTGGCCCTGTGGCCAGCTCTGGAAAATCCAGCCAAATCAGCAAGATTGCAATTGGAGTACAGTGATGCCCCACAAGACAATGTTAATTCATTCAGCGAAAATCGCTGTCTTGTGAAAACATTGTCTTGTGAAATGCGGGTCCCTTTGGAATGCATTGAAATCTGTTTAATGCATTCCAATGGGAAAAATTGTTGTCGTTTTGCGAAAATCACCCATAGAGAAACCATTTTGTGAAGCGTGGATCAGCTGTAAAAATTGTCGTCTTGCGAAAAACGGCACCGAAAGCACCCGTTTTGCGAGTCGCATACTCAGCTGTCAAAATTGTCATCTTGCAAAAATAGCTTCCCCCCCAAAAAAACCATCTTGCGAAGCACGGACCAAAACATCATCCAGCAAAAATTGTCCATAGGAAACACTGTTTTGCGAAGCGCTATAGCGATTGCAAAAACTCATCATCTAACTAATTAACCATTTAGCGAGGTAATTGTCTCGGAGGGCACCATTGTATCTTAATCTACAATACTTTCATCTGTCCCAAGACCATGTGACATCAAGACACCTGAAATCATAACAGGATCATCACCCCAATGTGAACCATAAAATCTCTCAGTGTGCTTTGGTGCTAGGCATTTTGCCACACCTCCTTCAGTCTTTTTGTGTGTGGAGGGTCCACATGACACCATCGTCTTATCATTGCTGTTTATTGCCCATGATTCTTCTGTATTTTCTCAGACTGCAAAACATTTCAGACAAATGTAAGAACAGTACAACTTCTCCATCTATGTGTGGGTTTGGTGCAACTTTTCCATTATTTTAAAACTTTGGGGTTTCAATGTGGACTACGGCACATGGAAATGAACCTGGCCCAACTCAGCATAAACTTATGAATCATATAACATATACCACAAAAACTCTGTAGTATTTATAAAATGATCTTTACAGAGCTCTTCCCTACCTTAACCAGTTTTCTGTTACAGTGGTGAAGCACCATAGAATAAAAAATGTACACTAGAATTACAGTGTTATGATGTTATAATAATATACCTGTCATTCAGTTTCTTTGGAAAACTAGAAAAAATGTTTTTAATATTGTAACGTGGCTGAGCCACTCTGAGGTCCCCCCCTACTCAGGCCTCTCAGAATGCCCACCACGCCACTAAACACTCTTGCTGCCACCAACCTTTCCTTTAAATAAAAAGGACAAGGGTTTCTTTCAAAAACAAAAACTGGTTTATTGATTACAAAATAAAATAGGTAAATCACATGAAGATAATCAAGGTGTAAATCACTGCTACTTAGTTAAATCAATCACATAGACTTTCCCTCACTGACACTCAGGCACGCAGGCCTCTAAACAAGCTCTCCAGATCTCACTCACTCTCTAACTCTATCAAACTCTCAAGCTGCTCTCTCAAACACCATACACACCCTGTTATAGCCCAGCTCCTCCCCCTTTAGCACCACCTTCCGTCCCCTCATTGGCTGCTGTTCCACTGCCCAGCTGTGACGGACAGGTGAGGGCAGGGCTGAACGTTACAAGCACTGATTACAACATTGCTTAGAAAAATATGGCAGCTATGCCAAAGTCTTATACTATGCTCGGCACTTCAAATGGGCTCACTGCCAGCAGCCATGTCATACCTATCAGTTCAGTGGTTCCCACTCTTGGGTCCCCAGATGTTCTTGGACTACAATTCCCAGAAATCCTGGCCATCACAGCAAGTGGTGAAGGGTTTGAGAAGTTTTAGTCCACTAGTGTAGGTAGAACGCAGAGTGTAGATGTAGGAAAAGCACAATACACCTGATCACCCTGTTCCAATTGTAACAGAAGAACAATGATTGTGTGGCATAAGGAGCCACCCATCTGACACTATACAGATATTCAAGCCTTAACATTGCTTGGGACTTCAGACACAAGTGTGAGTACACCAGGGCATTTTCAAATATTTTACTAGGAGCCTGGATTGTGAACTCATTTTCTTTGCATCTGTACAGAATTTGCTTTATGGTTAGTAGTTACTAAATACGAAATAACTGGGACATGGAGAAAAAAATTAGCTTTCTATCACCATTCCTTGCAGTGATCTTCCTGTTTAAGGTTCAAGCCAATCTTATTCTAGGATATTAGAAGCTGGGAGGGGTTCAAGCAGGCTAGTTCATTCTCCCCCACCCTCGTTTCCTGTTTCCTCCTTTCCAGCTAAGCCTTATTCTGTGCTTGCTGGTAGCCACTCAACATCTTCAGCCTTCTCATGGTGGGTGTACTCTGTGTGTGTGTGTGTGTGTGTGTGTGTGTGTGTGTGTGTGTGTGTGTGTGTGCTGTGATGTCATGTGATGCTTTGCTTTCTGTATGCACTCGAGAGCTCATTTATTTAAGTATTCTGAGCTTTCTAACATCTTTTGATCTAGATTTGCAGTGGTCTTTCCCCAATCTTGTTGCCATTCACTCCACTAAGTTTGCAATTAGGGATAATAACAATGAGCCTATTTAGACAGCAACTTTAATGTACATTATAGATGAAAGTAAGTGGGGGAAAGGCCAGGGTCTACTCAAAGGAGATGACAGTTTAAGTCTCAGCAGTGTGAGAATAAATATGTAAGAGGTTGAAGGGAAAAATGGGTTTACAGAGGTGAATGTGAGGAAGTGCACTGTAAAGTGCATTGGTTTCATTTCAATGGACGACTTAAGTATGCATCTGACAACTGGCCAGAATATTTGTCTTTCTAGCCCAATGTCATATATTTTCACTGTTTAGCACCTTTGCGGTATCTCTGACAGAGACTGCATTGTGTGCAGCTTGAGATCTTTTTTCACTACATGGAATCTCAAACCTTCTCCATAGCTTAACATAGCGCTAAGGTGACAGCCCTTCGCTGCTGGGTGAGGACTAGGACATGTCATGGGAGATGGATTTTAAAGGCAATCTTGAAGGAAGAGAAAGAGGTGGCCCCAAATACAGTAGATACTCTGGAAGGTAATGTTGGGCACAAAAAGGAGCAAGAGGAAATCAGCTGCAACATGTAAGGGATCAGGAGAATTTATGGGGAGATCTTTACTCCTCACAGATGGCATTTTGGCCTTGCGAGGCCTACATTGAAAATTGTGTATAGTCTTAGGATTGCCATCTCTCTCACAGTCTTTTGTCCTGAGCAAGCATTCATCAGATGAAGCTTTCTGCTAGAATGGGGATGAAATGGTGGAATTTTCTTTGATCCAGTTGAATCTCTGCCTGAGCCTGCTGCTGCTGAATGAGCAGGAACTGTGGTAGGAAGGAGGAAATGGCAGTTTTGATGTACGTTCAGTTCCCTAGACTCTCATCTTGAAGATTTCACCCACTCTGCCAGTTACAAGAGTTCCCAGTGTGGTGTAGTGGGAAGAGTAATGGATTAGGACCCAGGAGATCTGTGTTCGATTCCCCAGCTCTGCCATGGAACCTCACTGGAATGGAAGGTGGAACTGGTAAGGCCGCTCCTTAAATGTCACACTTACGTTGAAAACCCTATTAGGGTTGCTGTAAGTCTTTTATTTACTTGACAGCACATAACACAATGCTAGCAGGCCAGATCTGCAAAACCATATATCCTCTCATTTAACAAACTGACTGTACAATATTAAATGCATTTATCCAAATGACATTTAGTTTTATCCTTCTGCTGATCCTTCACCTGCAACTCAGAAGCATTGTCATCCCAAACCCTCATTCCTCATGTTCCTTGTTTCTCCAGTATCATTTGGCAAGCGTCACGCTAGAATGTAAGTAAGCTGCTACACCCCCATCCTACTCAGTAGTACCTGCCAGCATAAATTTAACATATTCTCTGTGAGTCATGAATGCATTACAGACCTCCTACTCCCTCATTAAAAAACTGTAGGAGCAGCATGACTCAGATTTGTAACAAATTCTTTTTTCCACCCAGAGCCCTTGATATTTAAGGCTTGATGTGCGCACCGAACCAATATAATTATAATACCAGGGGGTGGAGGGAAGGTATGTTCACCACCTATAGGAGGCAAGGAGGAAAAAAATACTTGTTATCAGTTAATTTATTCCTAAAAAATCAGAAATCAGGACACTGCTATAGATGATTTATTTTAAAATCTGTGCCTTCTTCCTTGGGAAAGAAAAAAAGAAAGGGAGGGAAGGAAGGAGAAGGAACGAGCTGGAAGCTGAAAATTTCCTAACCTCAAAGCAGCACATTTTGAAACTTCAGATCTCCATGGCAACTGAGGAATACAGTTCCAAGCATTAAAGGATGAAAAATAATTCATTATTTACAATTAGCCTGAGATGTTTTGAAAGCATCCCCTGAAATGCAACCACATATTGCTTCTGTACTTTGACCTATTCGGTCTAACATGTTTTGACTGGTCAGGCACTTGGAGCCAAGCCTTCAGGTCACAGAAGCCAAGGGAGAAGACAGGTGGCCGCTCAGGCAGAACAAAAAGGTCAGAATGCTGTCAAACGTAGCTAAACATTTGCACGAGGAATGGTAGTGTTGAGGCTTTTCTGCTGTTTCTTCCGCTTGATATGGAATCATAAAAGGTCTTGTCACAAAACTGCCTTGCCACCCCCTTTTTATGCATGGTTTTATGAGTTCTGACTCAAAACGACTCCTCTCAAACTCTGCCTTCAGAGGTCAGTGGCTGTCTGCCAAGGGTTGTTTCTCTCCCTCAGGGAGAAGATGGTGTTTGGGGGAAGATTGCTCAGGAGGGTTTA